ATCATAAATTATAAATTATAAATTATATAAATTGGCTAGCATTACTATTATAAAATTATATATAAAATTATGTATATCTATAACGTATATAATATACTGGTTAAACGTATAAAATCTATGCAAAAATAACGTATACAATATACTGATTAGATGTATAAAATCTATATAAAATTACGTATACAATATACTGATTAGACGTATAAATTCCGTATGTTTTTGCATACGGAAAAAGTCAATTTTCAGTATCTTGTATATGGAAATATTTACGAATTTATTATACTGTTTTTCTACATTTTTTATACATTTTTTAAACCTATTATTTCTGTATACTTTCCTTATACTGATTATTTATAGGGAGCATATTGTTTCGCATCTAAGCAAGAGCAATCAAAACAAATAAAATCATATTCTGCTATAAATTCATCCCTTGGTTTACCTTTAGATAAATAACAATATAAATTTTTAGTAAGCCTAGCATGTTTTTTCCCTTCGCATTTGCTAACTTCTTCTCGATAGCCCTTGGTAATGATAAACCTTTACCTATTGAAGCTATTACCAGTTTCATGTCTTCCTTTTTTTCTTTCAAAGAAGAAAGACATTTTTTTATCTCATTTTATTTAGCAGATAAATATTCCAACACATTGACATAGAGACCCTTTTCTTTGGGAAAGTTATGCTGAATAGATCATGCGAGAATATCCTAATCTTTGAATTTAAAACTAATTTGTGAAGCCTTTTACCACTTTATTCAGCATACTTTCAAGATAAAATGATTTTATCAGGTGATTGTCATACACTAGCACTTAAAAGGTTGCAAAACCTTCATACCTCCCGTAAAATAATGCGTATCAAATAATGGTAAGAAGGCTAAAGTTACTAACTTCCTATATTCATTGATTACATTACGCTTAACCATTAACCGCTGACAGCTAAGAGCATCAATAATGCAGTATTTGACCACTTCACGCATCTGCTTAGCCGTTATGACATTTGTTTTTTTTAATGCTCTTTCATAATATTTATTCTGCAATGAATAAGTAAATCCATTTTGTTGTCAAGATTATACTCCCTTAAGTAATATGCAAGACTACTTTTTTCAGCTTTAGGGTAGAATTTCTTAAAGCAGGATCAGGTATCAATAGCTATGCATCTGGGAATTTTAAGATGTTTTGAATAGAAGTCCCAATCATTTACTTTTATTATATTATACTGATATTACCATTTTGTAATTTTTCTAGGCAAGCCAGTTTCAGTTTGAATGACATATGATTGAACATCCATTCGAGTATCCTAATTTTTTAGCTTTCTCCATAATAAATGACCAATCATATTGCGAATCATTAAAGCCTATTTATATATCTGGAGCTAAAAGTTTTTAACATAATGCAAATGCTTTCAGTAAATTGGTTTGGTCTTCACATATAACTGTAATCTATCATGGGTCTGATACAGTTTCAACATCAATAAGACAAATTTGTTTAATAGTTTGGGATCATCTTTCTAATAAACCGTCATACAAATCATGAATATAACATCATTATTGTATTTTGCATTAGATACCTAGCTAGTTCTTTGTGAACTGTGAGAATGAGAGTATAATCTCGTAAAAATGCTGAGGAAATTAATTGATTATTGTACTCACCATTGCTTATTGGTTTGTAATTATCCACAGATATTCGGAAAAGATAAGCATTTTTTGATGATGTATATGAATAGTTGCGAAATACTGTCTAACTTGAAAGAGGTAATCTTTCTTCACAGGCTACTTTATGATAATAATATTAAGGAGTTAGATCATAAAAAGCAGTACAAATACCAACTTCACGAACTGCTTTTAATGCATTATTCTGATCAAAGTGATTTCATGTTCTCACACAGATATATACTTTCTTTTCTGTATAATATCCTTGAAGTAGGAAAACACAAATATCCTCAAACCCAAACTTTTATGTGTTTTTGAAAGTAGCAAATAAAATGTGTGCTAATGTAATCTTAAATGAAGGGTCCTCTAGGACCAGATGAGGAATAGTTTTCTGGCACTTCAACATCAAAGAAGGGTTTCATGTCTATAATATCTACGATTGTCTTTTGCCTATTGATTAAAATACCACTGATACGTAAAATATAGGTAGACACTCCACTCCATTTATATATTTAGCTTCATTACTCACATCCATAAGCATAAAATGTATGGGTTGCTTTTCAGATAAGCATTGCTGAAGTATAGCAGTCATCCCGTTATCATATTCTATTATGATCTCATTACATAATGGAATACTGGTTATAGACTTAGCGTTATCGTAGCGGACGAGTATTAGGCCAAATCCAGTATAATCAGTTTGGTCAGAAATAATTGGAGTATATATGTTATCAGTTTAAAAGGAATTATATAACATTATATAAATCAGAAATGTTTATTATTTTTTTATTCATCAAAAAAAAGAAGCAATAGCAGACTTAGATGACAAAATGCGAAAGAAGACCAGATGAATTATTACATCAAAGTGAAGTTTTCTTTAGAAATATTATATAAAAAATTGGAAGAAGACTTTACTTTCTAGGTATATACTCAGATGTGGCATAAAGTCTATATCTTAATGATATGTATCTGAATCATCAAAATTATAGGACCAAAAAGAAACGTATAGCAATATGGTAAAAAAAATAGCAAATAAACACATTTTTAATAAGCAAATATAAGGGTAGGTAAGTGTGTAATCTATTATATAAATATTGGCAAAAAATTACCTATCACTAGTATGTATTCAGATGTGACATGAAGGTTTCTGCAGAATTATATTATATAAAAATGGCAGAAGGCTACACTTTTCTAGTATGTACCTAGTATAATATGATATCTAGGGTATTCTTCTCTGTATTCATTATATAAAATATTGGAAGAAGAATATCCTAACACTAGTATGTAATCGGATATATGTATTTTAGGTAATCTTCTATGAAAAAAGCTCTTATATTCAAAAAATGGCAGAAGATATCCTAACACTAGTATGTGCTTAGGTATAGGTACTTTTATAAGCGTATTTATTTTTTCATCTTCTGAAAAAGAGACATATAGCAAGCTAGTAAGCAAATCATAAAAGAAAGACAAGTAGATATGTATCTGAAAGTGAAGCCTTTTTCATAATCTATATAATAAATATTGGAAGAAAGCTTAATCTTTTTAGATATGTGTTCAGCTAGCATAGTTTTCATGTAAGACTTATTCGCTTAATGTCATCTAATACTATTCTATAATTTCAGCTAGAACTTTGAGTGTAATAACTTGACATCCAAGCTGGTATAAAAGTGAACTAAAACTAGCAAATAAATGGAACCTCTTAGACATCTTGCTAGTTCCTTATCAGTTCCTCAACAGTTTCATAATAGTTACATAATATTATCATAGTGCCATTGTGTTGTCAAGCTGAAACCTAAAATCACATACCCAAAAAATCGATCAGTTATACCATAGAGCCAGCCAAAATTAATCACAAATCCTCTGCGCCACCCATCGCCTCTTTTTTTTACACCATTTCAGTATTTTAAAAGGCAACCAATAGGCGTAAATTCTCAATATAAAACTAGCAACCAAACAAGCATAGAGTGTCAGTATCCTCAACATAGAATCAGGTATTCAAACAAGAATAGAAAGCCAATACCAACAATATAGAATTTATAATGTAAACGAATTAGAAACAAGAAGAAAGCAGTAATCATTAAATCATGACATCACCATTAAATTAAAGCATCACCATCTACTGTTAGATTATAAAATCACCACCATAATATACAGGAAACAATTGAAACAATGATATAAATGCAAAAAAGCTACCCATATGTAGGTTATGAAGTTACTATTAGATTATGAATAGTAGGTTATGAAGTTAACACTAGATCATGAAATTAGATTATGAAATCACCACCATATTATGAAGTTACCAGCAGACTATGAAGTTACCATTATATTATGAAGTTACCAGTAGACTATGAAGTTACCATTATATTATGAAGTTACTAGCAGATTATGAAGTTACTTTCATGATCTAACTCAAGTCACATGTGACTTTCATAATATAATTATATTATGAAGTCACATGTGACTAACTTCAATATTTTCATCATCTTGACATAATAAAATTTTCTTTGGTCTAGTTACTAATGTACCATTTTTATTTTTATTTATATATTTACATAAATAATCCATTTTTATTGAAAGAATGATTTGTTTTATTATAGAATAATTTGGGTTTTAATTCTTAACATTTGTTTGGATTTGTTTTGAATTTATTTAAAAAAAAAATCCATCCTATTATAATAATTTTTAAGTTATTAAAAAAATTTGTCATGATAAAAATTTAATTTTTTTGTAAATTTTTTTTCGATGTAGCGCTGCCGTATATGTTGTAATATAATAGGTTTTTTTTTTTTTTTAAAAAATGTGTGGTAGTTTCGCTAGATCTTTATTGAATAGATAAATTTATACCATAGTACAAAACAAATACATGAAAAAACGAAAATTTCTATTTATTCTAATCTAAATTGTTACCAATAAAACTAAACTAAATCAAAATCGACCTTGCATATTCCTAGACTAATTACCTGTAACCTTAATAGTTCAGGGGGAGGGCCCGATTAAAGCTACGAAAATCACGGTTCGGTTCGGATTAGAGGCCAATCCGCTCCGATCCGGGATTTTTGGTTCAGTTCACATTACAGTAACAATAAGCTTTGAATATCCATCAAATTTATTTTCTTTTGTATACACACATACATATACTTATTACAATAGAAATGCAAAAATGAATCTAATTAACATAATAAAAATGTCCATCACAAAGAATTAAGTGCTTGCTGAAATAAAATTAATTAGAAATCAGGAAGTGAAATCTCTAAAGTCTATGAACACATATATATAAACCTTAAAGAATTACGAACCCAATTCCCTTCGGCCTATATGATTATTTGAGCACTTCTTTTTAACAATTATTCCTCCTTTTATTAGTACTTTACAAATCCGTCACAATATCTCCATTCATTCCTTCATCATTTAATATTACATCTACATCAAAATCTAAATCCCAATTAAATTCATCTTCATTAAACTCTTCATTTCCGCCAGATTTGTTTTTATCCTCTTTGTTGTTTTCAGATTTATTATTATTATTTAGCTCATTTTTGACATCCTCCGATTGAACCTTATCAATAGATTCATGTTCTTCTTGATTTTCCGAGAACGGAAGAACCTTTTCTGTCATATCTTCTGGTACAGCAAAAGTACGTTCAGAAATATGCGAATATTTCTTTTTACCGATTGGGTGAGCATATGCACAATCAGGTCTTCGGCAATTAAATCCAAATTTACACTAAATGAAATATTTTATGTTAATATAAAACATAAAAAAATTATTATTTGTGGTTAATTTAATACAAACCGGAATGCTTGAAGTATCTGTCTCCATATCCCATGGATGCATAAAATGACATCCGGGTCTCGCACAGTGAGCTCCGTTACGACATGGGGCCGGAACTTTAATTGTATGGCTAAATATGAGGATATTTATTAGAATAAAGTATCATATACCGGAAATTTAACAAATTTCGAAATAAAATATACACACTTATAATCAATGTGCAAATATGGGCACATTAAATTCTGACAATTAGGATAATACCTGCAGGGATCTTGAGCAGCAACACCTAGGGAATATAAAATATTGTTATATAATGAATATTTTTAAATTAAACCAAAATAATTATAGCAAAATTTAATAACATACTTGCTGCTGGAGAGGGATGTGAATAACAACATTTAGGTTGAGTACATTCAGAACCAAATTTGCAAGGTATGTCAACTAAAGTAGATGTATTAAAACCAGATCTAACAGATGCAGGGCTTGCATGTGCATATAAGCAATTGGGATTTGCACAGTTTTCACTAAATTTACATAAAACAGCAGGAGACGCATTTTGTGCTGAAGGAATTGTTTTATGTTGAGTTACAGCATTCTTTTCACAGGATGATTCTGCTGACATAGTATTTAAAGGTGTGACTGAAAAAGGTGCCTGAAATATTTGATTCATCTTGATAGTATCAGTGGAAATAATATTTGCTGACTTTTTTTCTTTTTCCCGTTGATTTTGTACGTTTGAAGTTTGTTCAAACGTGTTCTTTTCATGTGAGACACTTGGTCTCTGGGAATTTTGTCCAAATACGCCTGAACCAAATGCACCACTTTGATATGAAGAACTTTGTCCGAACATTCCATGACTCATAGGACTCATGGAACCATGTCCGAATGAACCTAAACCAGAAGAACGAGGACCGAAAGCTCCTTGTCCTGTACCATTTACAAATGCACCAGGTCTATATATACTACCACGCTGATCATACGAAACAAAATCTTGATTAGCGGGATGGATATATAAACAAGTTTTAGGAGAATTGGGACAATTAGGTACCATTCTACGAAAATAAAAAGGTAAATTAAATTTTTAATAAAGTAAAGTATGAAAGGAAAATATAATATAAATTAAATACTTACGGACAAATTTCAGTAGGATGATGAAATTTACATGTAGATCCGAGGTCACAGTTAGGCCAATGGCGACATCGAGAAGTTTTTGGAGTAAGCGTTATATTGTTATTTGAGTCTGATGGAAACGGTATTGCGTTCGTATTTGCAGCACTGGACCCTTGAATAAAAGCAGGATTAATATATGCAGTCATTAGACCTCCTTTCTTTCCCAGTCGATCTAAAACACTTATTGGTTGTTGTAAAGGCCTAACATTTTGTTGTGAAGGCCGCCTCTCATTCACTACAATTCATGTGATTTATTTAATCTTAATACTAATTCTAATCCTAATTTTGAAGTCAATATTATAAAATTTTACCAAATATTTTATAATTACCATATCTACTACGTTCATAATCTGGTGGTGAAGGTATATATAATCCTTGATCATTAATTCGATGTTCGAATCCTACTCGTGAATATCTATCTTGACTATCAAATAAAAGATCATATTCAACTTCATTCTCGACTCTGCGAGATTTTATTTTTTGATCCTCTTTATGATAATCCATAGTAGGACTATAAGGACGTTTAGAATGACGTTCAGATCTATCAGATCTATATGACACATTTTCCTCTGCAAGTAATAGTAACTATAAAAATTAGATTTCATGTGAACTTTTAACTCGAAGCTTCCATATTTTACTCTTCTTACCTGACCTCTCTCCAGGATGTCGTGCACTTTTACTTGCGTCCTTTACAGCATTCATGAATAATCGTGAGGTGGCGGTTTGATTATTTCCACCCGTTCTCCTAAAAAATTAGTTTGTGAAACATTATTGAAAAAAAAAACTGCTACACCGAAAAAGTTTATTGAAAATACCTTTGTGTAGACTTTCCATTTACACTTCCAACAACTGATCTAACGCGTTGTGATTCCATAGCCTCGTTAGAATACATTACGTTGTCAATACAGCAAAGGGTTAACAGGTGAAATGATCCGCACGATAATATCGAGGAAAGTAATAAAATTATTTTTTATTTTTGGACGAGGCTATAACTATATAACATTTGACTAAAATCAATTGTTCGATAAAATCATATGACCAAAGGATTATCAAATTTTTGTAATCCATGCATACTACGCGTTTAATTTCTCATTTTATATAAATAAATTCAAACATAAATTTAAACCTTAATAATAAATTTTCACCAATTTATTCGTTTTTTCTAGTTCGTACCTAGTTATTGATTCAGTTAATAAAAAAGGTGGACTAGTAACAGACGAAAAATTCGGCTCCTTCGATAATCCAAATTTTGTCTCTAGAAAAATGTTGCATATATTCTCTCCTTTCCCCATCCTCCTCCATAAACTTATCTTTATCTAATTGTACAAGAGTCAAGATTGCAAACCTGCCATCTTTTAGTGCACCAGGATTCACAATCATAGTTTGGCCAACATGCGAAAGACCAAATGGATAATGAGAATGACCATGAATATTAATTGTGATATAATGTTGAGATGGTTCATTTAGGGATAAAGGTGACCGTGAAGCAATCGTATCGCGTAAAACTTTACTGATAATTATTACATCAAAGAATTAAATAAGAATCAAAGAAGGCTTTAATTAATTTGATAATTTGATTATTACCTTCCTGATTCAATCGCATCAGAAGGTTGTAATGGATACATATCCACGTCGGTCGTTCCGGCCTTGGATGGTCCAAAGTGTGTCACGAGAATGATATCATCTTTCTCAACTTGATCAATTAAAGTTGGTAGTCTTTCAGCAAGAAGAGTTTCGGTATCTTTTGGACACGCTAACGAAGAAGAATAATAATAAATGAATGTATTTAAAAAGGGTGAAAAGATTTATGAATCTGTGTGTTTTACCTGGCCAAATTACGGTCTCGGGAGAGTTCCTCTTCACAGCATTTGTTGATCCTCCAAAACCCACAATGCTTAATCCAGGTGCTAATAGAGGCAAAGAAATATCAGATTGTAGAATTTGCGAGATGAAGCAAGCAAATTATTTAATTGACCTAATTGGGCGGATTCATTATGTAAATTCTTCGCTATTGGCTTTCCTTCGCCTTTTCGATATTGATCACTGGACCGATGAAAACAAATATCGGGATCATGATTCCCTATTTTGATAAGTAATTGCGTAATTAAGTTTTAACGCATGTAAGATAAAGGGTGTTACAAGTAATAATTACCAGGTATGTAATATAATGGCATGCCAAAATTCTGGAGAACAGAAATAACCTCGTGAAATTCTTGCACATCCTACAATCAGTAACGGGTAAGATTATATCAGAGATAAGTAATCAAGTGGAACATAATAAAAAAACCTTTTCCGTAGTTAAAGGCGTTAAATAATCCGCATTTACAAGATCACCAGATGCGATAATATAATCAATTCTTTAATAAATGTTTTTAGTTAATATGATATCACGAAGCTTATTACACTAAATTTTTAAAATTTTACATAACTTTTTCAATCGACCTTTTTGAACCAACCAATTTTGAAGTTTTTTGATGTTATCTAAACGATAATGAATATCGCTTATAAGAAGAAACGTACGATGCATTTGTATTCAAATAATCAGTTTTTTCACTTAATTAAAAAAAAATGGTTCGATTTTTTTTTGGGTAGATCTTATAGATATGTCGTTTTCACCATAGTTATTGGTCTTTTGTCATAAGTTAATTTTCTAAACAGCCCATAATATATTCGTTTAAAAGCAAGGATTAGACGTCATCATGATATCAATTATAGATTAGATGTTCAGATATTGATTGATTTTTATATAAATGGAAAAATTTACCCTTCTTCCGTGCGCTAGTTTTTTTATTTATTTTATTTTATTTTTTTTTTGCACATTTGTTCGTTTTGAATAAAAGAATTTAAAATGGTTGTCAAAGTTGGTATCAACGGGTAATAATAATCATCTTATTAATTAATAATTAATTTTTTATATCAAAGAATAATAATTTTAAAAAATAAATTTAAAAAAAAAGTTTCGGTCGTATTGGACGTCTCGTTCTCCGTGCTTCTTTGCTTATCCCTGAAATCCAGGTTGTGGCTTTGAATGATCCTTTCTTGGACCCTGAATATATGGTAAGACCCTTCAAAAAAAACACGATATTTTAACAAATATTAACCTTAAGTTAATATTCAATCCTTCATTTAGGTTTATCTTTTCAAATATGATTCCACCCACGGCCGTTTCAAAGGTCAAGTTGAAGTAAAAAATGGGAAATTCGTACTTAATGGTCGAGAACTTACCGTCTTTACGGAAAAAAATCCTGCTGATATTAAATGGGGTGAAGTTGGTGCTGAATACGTAGTTGAATCAACTGGTATATTCACAACTATTGAAAAGGCCTCAGCTCACTTGAAAGGTAGATATTAATCAAAACATTTGTTTACGCGCTTTTATTCATTGTTAACAAAAAAAAATATTTTTTTATTTGATAGGGGTATGTTTCTTTTTTTTTGCTTTTGATTGAATTCGCAAGCCTGTATTAAATCGAACTTATACTAATTGTTTCTATCAGGGAGCCAAAAAGGTTAGCTTATTTAAAAATAATTCCGGTTTTAAGTTTCACAATACTTGCTATAACTAGTATAACATCATAATAGGTCGTTATCACTGCGCCCAGCTCTGACGCTCCGATGTTCGTGTGTGGCGTCAATTTGGATGCTTACAAACCCGAATACAATGTGATATCTAATGCTTCTTGTACTACAAATTGCTTAGCACCGCTAGCAAAAGTTATCCATGACAAATTTGGTATTCTTGAAGGTTTGATGACCACAGTTCATGCCACTACAGCCACTCAAAAGACCGTTGATGCTCCATCTGCCAAGGTACTTAACGTTTAATTTATTATTATTGTGTATTCTTAAAATATTTAATTCTTATATTCTTATGTTCCTCTATTTTAGGATTGGAGAGGTGGAAGAGGTGCAGGTGTGTAAAAAGTGTAAATTCATTTCCTGTAGGCATCCATTAATTGTACTTTAATGATTTTTTTATAGCCCAAAACATCATTCCTAGTTCTACTGGCGCAGCGAAAGCCGTTGGGAAAGTGAGTTTCATAATTACACAGTCTGTCATATGGATATAATTTTTTAACCGAGCATTATAATTCATAAAATAGGTTATTCCATCTTTGGATAAAAAACTTACTGGTATGGCTTTCCGAATTCCCACAGCCGATGTCTCAGTTGTTGATTTAACAGTTCGTTTGTCGAAAGAGACCTCCTATGATGAAATCAAATCAGTTATCAAGGCAGCTTCTGAAAACGAGTTAAAAGGAATCCTTGCTTATACTGAAGATGATGTAAATATTAATTATTTACAGAATCATATTTATTTTTATTGTTCAATTAATTTATTTTTACATTCATTATAGGTCGTATCCGCAGATTTCATTGGTGATACTCATTCCAGTACTTTTGATGCCAAAGCCGGTAAATAAATTTAGTTTGTCCTAATCAAATATCTTTATAAAATTATTAATTATTTTTTTCATTATTTAGGTATCCAATTAAGCCCCACATTTGTCAAACTAATAGCGTGGTATGATAACGAATGTGAGTAATTGTTCAATCTCCGTGTTCTTTAATTATACGAACAATCATTAATTTTTTTTTTTATCACAAAATAGTTGGTTATTCTCTTCGTGTTGTCGATTTGATTGCTCATATTGCCAAGGTTGATGCTGCATGTTAAGTATATCGCGTATAAATTTTTTAAATATGTATAAGTTACGTTCCACCGAGTTATTACTACTTTACAATTCTCGATTGTTTAATAAAAATATTAAAAATTATTATATGGAAATAAAAATTGAATATATTTGCTTCAAATACTATTAAAACATACAGTATTTTCTACCCATTATTTTAATTCGAAAGTATATTATTCAAATTGTATATTGATTACTTGGAGATCAATATTCTTTTTATGTGAATGCAAAAGTTCATAGTAGCATTCTAATAACGACGAAAATTACATTAACAAATGTTACATTTTATATAACTTTCTTTTAAATGAATATCTAACTTTAAAGATTGTTATATTTTTTATTAAATTTTTTATTATTTAAGAGAAAATAATCTGGAATAATAAAATAAATAATTTGCTTATGATATTAATTAGTGGTTAAGAAAAGAAATGGTAATTCATATTTACTTTTGAAAAATTAAACAGAGAATGGTTTAACCTTAAAAATTTATAGTATTAGATTTAAAAAATGAAAATAATTAAAAAAATTTTCTTTTTAATAAATTAAATAAAAAAAGGTTAAATATCAATAATCATTTCATAAGATTTTTTATTAAATTTAATTTATATAATACATTTAAGCTTAATTTTTATAATAAAATAAATTTCATATAATTAATTAATTAAAATTATAAAATTTATAAATAATTGAAAATTAAGTAATTAAAATTCTATTTTATATTAATCTTATTTAATTTATTTTTAATTTTTTTTTTTATTATGAAAATCTAATTAATGTTATAATAAATTAATTATGTTTAAATTTGAATTATAAAAAACTAATAATAATCTTTATTATTTTTAAAATAACATTTTTTTTATTTATTTTATGAAAATTATTACATATTACCAGTGGTTAATTATCACTGGTATCACATGTTTTATATATATATATATATTATTATAGTGATTATAGTTGAATAAACATCTAATGTGGTTAGGAAAGAGGTAAATCTAATCCTAATTTAAAGTCTAGTATGATTATTCATAAGTTTCTGCATAGGATAACACTAAAATCTTTATGAAGCAACCCACTAAGATACTATTGCGGATGTTATCGCATCTACAACCTTATGGTTGCAGGCTTCTTTTCACTTAAATGTGACATTCTGTGTATCCTTTTTGAGGAATGTCACAGGTATCTAAAGGTCTAAATACTACCAGAGATGGATAGAGTGATCACTTTAAGTCATATTGAAGCGTCACTTCTATATCTTTATCTAACTAATGCTATGAGGTTCATGGAATTGCGTGACTACGAGATTTGTTCAAACAGTAAACTAGCAAGATGACCAAGTGCCTATATCATGAAAAGGACCTAGAATCAATCCTGACTTCTAACCCTAATGATAGTTTAATTAGACAATACTGTGGCATGCAATATAATTTATTATTACTGTTGATCTAATCTACTAAATTCTGGTTAATCACTTCTTTAATTTATATACAATCTTATGACCTAGAGGTCAGGTAGACAAATTTTCAGGTCAACATCAGGTTGGGTCAAGCTTATGACCTAACCTAATAAAATTTAGGTCAACCAATTAAATTAAATAAAATAAAATATTTAAAAAAAATTTTTTTTTATTTATTTTTTTTTAAAAACATCTTTAATTTTATTTAATATACTTTCTTTTTATATTATAATAAAGTTGTTTGTATAATTACTTTATAATTTATTATAATCAAAAAGTTAAATTTTAAATTATAAACATTTTTAGCAATTACATTGTTCAACAAATTAATTTTAATTTTTTTTTGTCTGTTCAATTACTTCAAAGAGATATATGAGCACTTTGGTCAATAGAAATCGACTTTTGTCGCATAAGTAAAGTTGCTCAGTGAGTTCGAAAATATGTGTTTATAAATTTTTATTATTATTGGATTAATAATTATAAAGTTATGAATGTTTTTTGTGATTGTATTATCTCTCGAAATATTTTTTTTTTATTCATTTAGTGAATTCAAAGAGCAATTTGAGCACTTTGGTCAAAGAAAAACACTTTTGTCATATATGTAAAATTGTTTAGCAGGTTCAAAAATATATGTATATAAAATTTTATTATGTTTGGATTAATAGTTGTAAAGTTATAAACGTTTTTCATAATTGTATTAGCAGTCATCTGATTTGCAGATTTATTGCAACTTATAATTTTAAATTCTGCAGTTAAAATAATTATATTAGTATCTTTTTTTTGAAAAATAATCAAATGTAAAAATGTATCTATATTTTTTTATATTTTTTTAAAAAAATATTAAACAAAATTAATAATTGTTTAGTTTTCTTTTTTAAACAGGTTTGGTCAGATCAAGTCAGGTCAATATATATTTAATTTAGGTCAATTTTATATCTGATCTGACCTGACCTTATCAGGTTAGGTCAAATCAATTACCTGATCTAATTTAACCTGTTCGAAGCTCTATAATCATATATAGAAATAAGAACCCCTACCATGTGAGACGTAAGATTGTATCTATTACAGACTAATCAATAAAGGCCAAGTTTCTATCAATCTAAGACTTTATTTGCATCTACATGTTCTAATGACGTGTGATATTTAGACATGATCAATATTGATCAAAACTAGATTTGTATGCATGTTAATATATACGCTCATCATTTTGGCCACATATGAAGTTCTTATGAAAATCATTTAGTTTTATATATCAGCTGATACCTGAACTGATAGCCTATCACTATGTAATAAAACATTAGCTTATAGAAGGCTCACAGTTTAACTACTGAGCTAGGGATGCTGATCCTTATATTACATGTTTTATATATTTATATCTGATATTCCAAAGGATCATATATAACATAATTTATAGTTATTCAATAGCATTTTAAGATATTATATATAATTATCAAATATAAAATGTGTAAAATTATATGATTGATGAGTATTAAATTTATGCAATTATAAATATGAAATATGCAAAATAATTTATTTGATTATCATTAAATACAGCACAAAATTATATAATTATAAAATAATTTACTAATTAAGCTAACTAATGTGAAAGAATAAAAGTGCAATTATTAAATGTGTAATTATCTCCTTTAAAAATCCTATTTAATTCATTTAAATCAGTATTTATAGTATTTTCCTGCAAATTTGTAGATTCTTGAAGTGGTTGATTATCGCTATTATCTATAATAAATATTAAAGTAATTTAGTAAATTTATAGCAATTATAATATACAGTATAATTATTTATACCTTTTGCATATTGAAAAGCAAAAGTAAATGTAAAAAACAATTGATTGTCTATTAAATGAATATCTTGACCATTTTTTTTTAAATAATAGATTAGTATTTTAATAAAAATTAGAATATATTAATATAAAATTAATTACCTTCATCTAATACTTTATTATCAAATAAATTATTAATAAGACTATTGTTTGTTCTTGTGATTTTTCTTTTGGTCGTTTATAAGCATGCAATCTTACTAAAGATCTATGACATGATAAGAACATTCATCTAAAAATCCCCAATCTTTTAAAAACTGAACTATTATACATCTTAAGCTATAGTTTATTTTTTTTGCTATTTAAGTTAATTCAACATTCAATAAAAATATCTTTTAAAAAGATTCGTAAATAATTTTCATCTATTAGTTGAAGCTTATACACTACTTTCCTAATATAATATAATCTTTAAAATAATTAGAATTTAATTTTGCTTAAATTAAAAAAATAATTATCATATCATTTTAATTAATATATTCTTGTAAATAAAAATTATTCTTTACTTTTACTGGTCTTTTAAAGAAATATAATTCATAATCAGCTTGAATTAATAGATTATATAGAATTCTTAATTTTTCACTATTTTCTTCTCCTACTTCACATTGATTGATTTTAGATCAATAAATCAATACATCAAATCCATTATTATTATACCAAAGTAAAAAATCTTGAAATTTTAATTTGTAATGTTCTCCAATTTTAAGTTTAAGTAAAATAAAATTATACAAAAAAATTCTTTTTAATAATTCCTATGAAATTCATATATTAAAACTGGTGATGCAAACATAGTCTGAACTTCTTCATATTCTAATCCATCACTCTTTTTTATTTCTCCTTTATTAGCATTTTGTAAATCTTTTAATTTTTCATTAATTATAAGATAAAAATCAAGACATTGTTTTCTATTAAGTAAATTCAATCTTTTAGTAACAGAATGCTTATTAAAACAACGATTTAGAAAATTAATACATGAAATGATAGAGGATTGTAAATATTCTTTGCCAGTTGTTATTTTCAATCTGTTTTAAATTGCTAATAGTTTCTAATTTATTATTATATTCTACTTGTAAACGAAATTCTTCAAAATGTGATATTTAGTTTTTTGTAGATTTGTGAGTATTTTGAATATAAGCATTTTGTTTTATTTTTAAAACTTCTTCTTGAGTAGATAATATATAACTTCTCAAAAAATAAAATATATTTTTAATATTTATATAAATAATATTTAAATAGTTAAAATTATTTACCTTATTATGTTGCTTCTTGATTTTCATTATTTAAACAAAGAAATAATTAAATAAAAAATGATAACAAAAAAAAGAACGAAAAAAATTTTTGAGAAAGTTTATTTTATTAAATATTTTAAACTATATTGCATATACATGATCATTAAAAGCTTATCAAATAACTATATAGTATTACATGTATTATTTATTACCTTATATAATGCTTTTCTGTTTTTATTTTTATTATGTATTCTAGAGACTTAGAATTTTTGCATTATTAAAAATATTTGTTTTATCTCTTAAATGTTACTGGTCACATGAGGTAATCAAAAACTTTAATTACTATTGATTGATTTAACACTGTAATGATTGCCATCAGTAATAAATAGCAAACTCATTTTATTATATAAAAAATATTTTTAGTTAGTTTTTTTTAATAGCATTAGACAAATTTTTAGTATTATTTGTATTATATAAAACAAATAGAATTAATGCATATTATATATAAAGATATATCAGCTTAAAATAAGTTAACTTGTGTCAATTTTGAAATTCATTTTAAATTTAGCAGATCATGAATCTCTTGAGTTTAGAACTATTTTTAACAAATATTAAAAATAAAAGCAGAACTGATTCAGAGACTGATGCTTAAATCAATTTTTCATCATATTTTATTAATGAAAACCAAAGTAGAACTAATAAAAAACTAAAACAAAACTGATAAGCTAATTTTTATTTTTAATTATATATAATTAGAAATTAAATATATTACCAAATTCTTTTAAAATAATTGCAAAAATTTTATAATAAGACTAATATTATATAACTATATAAATAGCTATTTTACCTGAAATTTTAAGTTTATAAGTATTATGTAATATGCTGAATGATATAAAAACTAGTGAATTTTCATAAGATTAATAAAGACTAATGTATATAATACAACTTCTTTAAGTTACTCAAATAAATAATTGCAGTAAAGACATGAATATCTATCAAAATACTTAATAAAATTAAATTCATAATTAAATTTCAGATAGAACTTACATATACTATATATACTACTACCTTAATAACTTAAATATAAGTATTAAAAATTTGTTTTATTTATTATATGATAATAAGTTAATAAATATTAATTATAATTTTTCTTGTAGTTATATTTTTTATAATAAAAATTGGATTAAGCTAAAAAAATATGTATTATAGTTTAATTTAAATTAGGATTATATTATATATACATTACATTTTCTTTTTAAACTCTGTATTTACAAATCATATTTCTCAAAAATTCATCAGATATTTTTTGATTTTATTATATCAATAATATTTGTAAATATAATATAATACAAACTATAAAGTATATTACTGTAATAGAAGAGTCAACTGCAAATCATATAACAATGAAATAAATCACCTGATCTACTATGCCAAGTATCTGCTATATCTGCTATATCTGCCAATTCTGGCAGATCTGTTAAATACGTCAGTTCTGCACAATATGCCAGAAATCTAATATATGCTAGATATCTGAGAAATGGCAGATATTTTAGAAGTAAAAGTTACATAAAGACCTATAAGATGCTGGAACCTTCTTTTTCATTAATAATTAATTAACATTAATAATCGATTACATATATTATATTCTTTATTTTATTATTTATATTATCAAATTTCTTATAAATTGGGTAGCTTTAGAACTTCATAAACAATAAAAAATTTACTTAGTTTTATTGTTAGTAAGATAATTACTAAACACATCTGTATGCTAACAAATACACTTATAATAATTATTCTATTTAATAAAAACTCTAAATTACTTAACCCATAAATCATACTTTAATTTAAAATACATTTGATCGAAGAAGCTTTCCATAAATTGCATTATAAGTCTTAAAGCTAAATCCTTTGTTAATCTTACGTCAATACTAATTTTTAGTCATTAGTATCATAAGATAATATTACTATTATAAAGGAGTGGTTATTTTCTATCATCTTTTATATTTATTTTTAAAACTATTAATTTATTTTTAGCAAATTCATTATGTTGTTACTTATAGATACTTTTTGAAATTTCTTCAAAATAATTTTATCATATCTTTTACTATTATTTTAATATAGTTTAGCTAATTTCAGATTTCAGAGTTTTATCGTATCTCTTACTATATTTTAATATAATTTTGACTGTTTATTAATTACTTTTTTTAGATTTTGTCTCTTATTTATATTGCTACTGTTATTAAATATAATAATATAACTTTTTTAAATGAGTATATTTAAATATTAAAATAGTTTATTCTTTACCTGCTTAATAAAATTTTATTTGTTCATCAATTATTATGATTTATATTAGAATATATTATAAATAGCTTTGATATATAAGTTTCATATTATTAGAAAATGAATTCTTTATAATTTTATTAGAGTTGTTTTTTATTTTTATATAATTTAAAAAAAATTGTCAAAGTATAAGTCTTAAGTATACTTTTCAAATTAGTTATAATATTTTATAATACTTCTAATAGATTTTTTTTAGTTTAAACAATTAAAAAAAATAGGTTAATAATAAATAATTAAAAAAAAAGCAATAGTTATTTATTATTAAATAAAAAACAAGAAATTTTCTATATATTGAACTGTTATTTGTAAACTAAAAGCATTATTTTTAAAAATTTATTCAAATTTAATAGTATCTAAACTGCTAGGTTAGTTATTTTAAGAAAAAGTCTGAATCTAAAATAGGTGAGAATGACATAGTATGAAAATGTGTAATCAGTTGGTTTTCTTATATAATGACAATACAGTTAACCCTTGATATAACGAATTTTATGTCCTGAAATTCAACTTCGCTATAGAGCTATAGTGAATTTTTTAAAGAATTTG